TTGATAAATGGTGAGAAGTGGAGTCCAGTGGAGGAATTTACGTGCATGAATACCACCTTGTTCAGACCCTGGTGAGTCAGCCATGCTAACTCCTCTGCACCTTGTAGATGATTAGGCACTCTGACCACACCCTGGCTCTCCTTCAGTGCATCCACATTGTCACGTAATCCACGGCCTGCACAGTGGGAAGACACTGAGCCTGTAATAAGAACCCAGGGGTTCTATCCAGGTGAGAGGTAACAGGTGGCTGGTGCAACTATATAGAGTATTTTTATTGCAGTTTCAGGGTTGTGTGGCTACAGGTATATGAGCCGTAGCAAGCCTCATCTTAAGCATTGCCCAGAGAGACAAGACTTCATCTTCGACTAGCAGAAAAACACTGCCATAGACCTGAGTGTGTCTTCTATAGAAATAGACATCCCCATCCTGTTATCTTCTGGTAGGCTCAGCTAAGACTGTGCCCTTTGATGTATTGCATTAACTGTGGTATCTGTTAGATCCCCATGTCAGAATGTTTGCTCTCCCCAATCCTGCAGCCTGTCCTCTGGAGAACCGTTCCCCTCGACTGGCCACTACTGCTCTGGAGGAGCTGGTGTTGGCTGGGAAGCTCAAGTGAGGAAGGAGATAGCAGTGCCAGTGAGGACCTGAGAAAAATGCTCATCTTATTCCCAGAAAGTGCTGTGTTCAGCTGCCTATGGCGGTAAAATGGGCAGAACAGCCCCGGCATACCTTGCCAGTGTCTTCCATATAATCTGGGCTCTGGTGGGCGTGGCCAAGGGCTTCCAACTTTTTAAATGTGCGCTAATGTTTTAGCCATGCTTCACTTCATTTGGTCCCCATAGCAGCCATTATACCCAGTTTACAGGCAAGGAAACTGAGGATCATAAAGTCACATGCACAGCATTAACCAACGGGTCAGTGGTGGAGCTAGTATATAGGAATGTAAGTGCTTTAGGTCCTAGCTGCTCTGGGACTCAGTCCAGCTTTGTCCCTGCTGGCCTGGGGGAGCTGGGCATTTCCAACTCCTTGGGGACTCAGTCTCTTCATTTATAAATGGAGCTGAATAACACCTACCTTCAGGAGTGTCATGAGACCAAATGAGATGATGCAGGTAAAGCATGTACCACAGCACCTGATAGAGAGTCTGAGGAGAAGGTTACCATCATTGTTCACGTCTTCTCAATCCTTCTTTTATCCAAAATTCTTGTTTTAGAAAAGAATCAAAGTGTATCTTCCATCTGAAACTCTATGTTTTTAAAAAATTTCTCTAGGTTCCAAATAAATTAGCTCCCAGAGAAGATAAGCGGCATGTCTCTGACCTTGGAAACATCTAAGACGGAATCAAGCATAGTTGTGGAAAGTACTCCATCCCTGAGAGATAATATAATTAAACCACGTGATGAAGAACCAGATAATTCAACAATGATCTTGGTTCCTCTACTAAGCCTCCAGCAACTAGGGAAGATGTTTCTTCCCCTGCAAATCCCATGGGAATATGCCAACTTGGAAATTTGTGGTCACCTAGTCCCACGATACCACTCCCGCAACCACATCCCATCCAAATGAATTTATTCCAAGATAAATTTATCACAATTCCATGTTGCACTCTTCTCTTCTGTTTCCCCCTTTCTAATCCAGCTGATCTCTGGTGACCCCTGACCCTGAGCTGGAAACATTGTTCAAAAACTCTACAGGCTCCTTCACTGCCATGAGCTCACCTGATGTGGTTCAAGGTGACCTCTCACACTAAGAGTGGCCGGTTCAAACTATAGCTACCACTGTTTGAATCACCTGAGTTTGTTCTGTCCCTTATAAGAACACTGATCACAGGAGGCGATTTAAAGGTGAATTTATATTGGGGCACCTCGGTGGCTCAGTCAGTTGAGCATCCAACTTTGGCTCAGGTCATGATCTTGAAGTTCACGAGTTCAAGCCCCACATTGGGCTTTGTGCTGACAGCTCAGAGCCTCGAAACTGCATTAGATTCTGTGTTTTCCTCTCTCTCTGCCTCTCTCCCTCCCTCTCTCTCTCTCTCTCTCTCTCAAAAATGAATTTAAAAATTTAAAATATATACATATAAATTTATATTAATTACAACTCAGTAAAATGAAATATTCCATCAGCTCCCTAGTCTAATCACATTTCAAGTGCTCAATAACCGCCCTTCGCTTGTAGCTACTGTATTGAACAATGCAAACAGAACATTTCCAACATGGCGGAAAGTTCTATTGGAAACGTTGCTTTGAGTTATATGGAGCTAATGTCTAAATAATAATGGGAAAATAAAGATCATGATGTCAGAGAATTTTACAAGGGTTTACTATTATAGAAGTTTTTATTTTACATTTAATGTGTTAGCATTTAGTTCCAATTATTTGTAAGGAAATAAAATTCGAGGATATGTGCTAATTGTCGAAGCATGTATTTGAACTTTTTACTCTGCTATAGTATAACAGTGTAATATGAAAAGAACCTGAGGTAGGGACAGGCAGTGAAGACATTGGGAAAATGAAGATCTTCTATCTCATAGCCACCCACACTGCGGATTTTCCAACTGAAGGAATTGGGAGTGATACAGGAATGGGCCCATGTTTTTGGAGGATTAGATGAGTGTTGGACTGGAAGGCCCACAGCCATCAAACCAAGTGAAAACTGTTACTAAAAGTGGTGTGGATAGTCATCAATATTACTTATAAATGTAAAATATTTGATCAACTTTAATTTTCAACAATAGGAGACTAGTGATGTAGATTATGATAGATCCCTGGTGTGAAACAAATGTACTTATGACAGGCTGTGAAATGGAACTTTGTCCTTTGTCTCATAGATTTTAGCTGAGACTTTGTAGCTACAGACAATTATCGACGAGTGCCCACCCATTCTAAAGAGAAGTGTGAAATACCTGAAGATGAAAGTATTTACAAGTGGCCACGGTGGGTCCAATGGCCACCCTTAACCTCTAGCCATCCAAGAGAAGGTTAGATCTTTAATGTAGAGAGGGTTCGTGAACCCTCATAGAACTAAGGAATGCTGTGCTCCCCTCCACCCTGCCTAATGAGAGGCTTTAGAGGAATCAACCATTCACAGGTGAGTTGAATCTTCTGCCCGAAGAGACATTGACATTCCAGCCCCAAGCTGGGTGCAGATGAACTTCAGGAAGAGGAGATCCCCTACCCTGCTGCTGTCCAAGCAGAGCATATAAGAGTGCTTAGAAGAGATTGAGATGTGTCCTCTGAGGTCGAAAGGCATAGAGACTATTGTCTAGATGATGAGAGGTGATGGGAGATGTCTTCCCATCCAGAGTCTGAAAAAGCTAGGAAGCCTGAGGCTTTTTGTGAGCCAAGGAAATAACAGAAGTATCCAGGCTTGGGACATTTAGGAAAAACTTCAGCAAGAAGGCTACGAGCTGTGGATACCTTGAGTGTGTGTTGCCAGGGGCAGTTCGAGAAGAAGTTAGCATAAAGTGCTTCACCTCATCAGGGAATGCTGCAGTCTGGAACTGAAAATGGCCCTCGGACTGAGGGGGATGGGTATGGACATGCCTTAAGAAAGGCTAGATTAGAAATCTTCCAAAGACTCATCAACCCAAGATTCCCAGTTCCCCTTCTGTCTTACCACAGATCTTTCTTCTAAGGCTCCAAGAATGTCCCCAACAATGGCAATTGTGTTCTACCAGTTTGGGGTTTTTTGTTTTGTTTTGTTTTTGTGTGGTTTTTTTGGGTTTTTAGTATCCCAGGGCAGAATTCCTCTACCAAATGTCAAAAAAACCGTACCTAGTTTATGGAATAAGACTGCCAAGTGGCCACTTTGTGCTTCTTATTTCACTGAACAAATCAAAAGAAGTTGCCCTGTTGGCTGTAGTGATCAGTCACCGTTACAAAGGAGAAATAAGACTGCTACTCAACAGTGGG